CAAAGCCAAGTGATTTCTTTAATCAGGGCATTAACAACCTGTCTGAAAGATGGAAAAGCATCATCGATAAGAATGAAGAATATTTCATTCAATAAATGTTTTGTTTTGATACATAAGCTGTTCGGATTTTTTTCATTGAAAAAAGCGACATTAATTTCTTGACGACCTAATAGTTTACCACAGGTTCAAATTAACATGCATGTAATTGTATAGTAATGTAAGTTTATGTGAGATACTGCTTACCTATTACTGAGAATGGTAAACCTATTAATTGGAGAGAGTAACTCCACCCAAGTCATGATAAACGACTTACAACACCAGATGGAATAATTAGACTTACAGCTCCATCTGGAAGTTCTGCCAAGATGCAAACAGCAGTCAGATTTGCTTTACTTTATTTAAGCTGGTAAAAAAAATGCGGTAGTGTTTTATTTTTTATTTTTCCTTAACTTTCTCACATAGACCCAGTATACATTCCGAGCTCACCAGTTTGAGAACCATTGATACATGAGCTACGCGACCAGGTCAAGGTTCACACATAGCAGTCCCAAATTGAGAGTTGTTGACAGAGTGAAGGAACCAGTCAGCAGTACCCACTGCCATGCTACTCTTAACCGAATGATGGGTTTAACTCTCACGATTACAACGTTCACATGGCTGAAAGTGCGAACGTGTTCGGCGATATGTAGCAGGTTTGTAGCTTAGACCTTTACATTCGTAACTCGGCACACGCTAACAACTAGGCCACCTTACAATGTAGAGTTACATTTGGCAATAAAGTGTAGAATTAAGTCATATGGAAAACATATTTTTTTCACTGTGGGGTGGAAACTGTAAAGACATTTGCTTTCTAGTGTGACTAAAACGGTTATTTTATTTTACTTACCACTAAGCCCCTCAGTGGCACAGCGGTATGTCTGTGTCTTACAACGCTAGAAACCGGGTTTCGATACCCGTGGCGGGCAGAACACACATAGCCCATTGAGTAGCTTTGTGTTTAATTGCAAATAAACTTACCAATAAACTTGATCATCTGCACCGTCTTAGAGCAATAAATACAACCGAGCATTTAATTCGCCAAAGTTCAGTCTAGATTTAGTGTTTTCTCTATGATATTCACATACCAACTTCTCTTTCAGCCTTCTCTTAACTTCGCCCAGATCTCTTAACCAGGGATTTTGATTTAATTTTGGAAAGAAATATTTTCAGACCGATGATATCGAAGACGTCATGCTTACGAAATCGAGAAATGTTATGAAATGTCATTTTGAAGCGTACAAAATTTATGAAATCAAAACTACTCATGATATATAGATAAAGTATATAAAATCAGAGGTAAGCTATATAACATTCAAAATATTTATGATTTAAGTGAAAAGTAAATGAAGTCGATAGAATTCATACATTAACTACAAAGTATGTGAATTTAAAACAACTAATGACATATTATGCATGAAAACATACTTGTACATAAATCAAAATTACTCGTGATTTACCTAGGAAGTTGACATTAATCGACCAACTTCCTTTTAAGTACAAATTGGAGTAAGTTATGTTTCAAACGTACTGTAATCATTATGGTCTGAAAAAGGAACAGATTAAAAACTCACATTGAAAGCTTTTAGCCTGTCAGGGTCGTACTTATTTGTATCAATCTTGTCTGAGTCGTCATCGTCATCTTCATCATCTTCATCTTTTGTAGTGAGCAAAGTGTCGTCATTTTCTATCGATGTTTCCTGTTGAACAGCGCCATTACAGGGATTCTATAGAAATACAATGCACCATAATCAAATTAATTACAATAAAATACCATACAATATAGAAAATATTAATCGGTAAATATATATATATATTTTCCTTATGAAATCCATTCATTATTAATTTTATAGTTTAAGACTATTGAGTTAAGAGTAATAACCAATTTCCACATTTATTTTTAACTGAAAGTGTGATCCTCTGGTAAGTTTATAGGCTAACAACGCTAAACTTCGGAGCTTTATTCTCCGCAAGGACACAGCTCAGATAGCTTATTCTATGAGTTTGTGCTAAAACAAGCAAACAACCAAATTGAAAGTGAATTCCAAGTGCTTTAGCTTACTTTTTTAACTTAGCAATTTTTCATCTTAGCGCTTTTAATGGTTTAACAGGCACATTATCATGGAATCATTAAAGAGTTCTGTGAAATGTTAGCTTTTTTTCTGACTTAGCCTTTTAGGATGCTTCAGAATTATATAGGAAACAGTTAATATGAATATTCGTTAAATACGGCACTAAATTGAGTTATAGATAACGAGACAGAAGTTAACTTAATACGTAGTTGCTTTGTTCACTTTGGCCATTAGAAGCGCAACACTATAGAGTTGTAAGTTAGGAATATTTTTCTCTTTTTTTCAGAAAAATTAAAAATTAACTTTTAACGATACACGAGAAATCTGTAGCGGGTTATTAGTTACGAATGAAACTTATAGTTATTTTATTCCACTGTTGTTCGTTTTAAGTTGAATAAAACAACTTTTTTTTCACTGTATAAATACGCTAATTTAAGAAGATTAAAACAACTTTAATTATCTCCACTCTAAAATTAGCCCCAAATTTAAGGAACATTACAGCTGGTTTTAAAATTTCATTAGTCAACAAGACTAACGCATGTCGTTATAGTTTCGTATTCGTCTCAGACTCAGATAATCACAGAAAATATACCGCCACCTATTAGCAGTCAGTAAAAGTAAATCTTAGTAAACGGTAACTAATGATCGTGTTATTTCCTCTTTCCTAAATGTGTTTGCTTGTTTTCTTATGATGATTTATGATTTTTTTTTCCGAAATTGGTACATTTTATGCCAAAGGAAGACTTAGAAAGTGCTTAAGTATTTTGTCTGTAAACCCGACATACTCTGCTGAGTCGACTCAGCCTTATTCTTAGACTGAATTCGAGGATTCATGGGACACGTCCTGTTGCTACAAAAACACGCTCCGCACTTTGGAGCTTGTAGTATAAGATTGACCAACAAATCCCATATTCTGTCAGAAAAAAAAACTATCCAATCAATGGTCAGTAGGTGCTTTCTCTAGCTACTTTCCCCATAGTCTATCAGTTCAAACTTACAGACGGCTGTAGGCAGATAATCTTCGTGTAGCTTTGCCTGAAGTTCAGAAACAAACTCTGTTCTTCAGCAGGATTAGATACGTTGGTAACCTAAGTCACTCGAAGCTAAGGGTATTTTTCGACCAATTAGAGTTGAATATTTGTCCATGAGAGTAAGAAATAACTCGGAATTAACAGATGAATCCACCTAATGAATCTCTGTTGTCATAATGGTTTGATACGAAAAAAACAAAAAACGCTAGTATGCAGTTGTTCAATTTCAAAGCAAGATAGGATAAGTTTTTGTTTTACAATATTATTTAATACCTCATATTGTGCACATTTTTATTTGACATATATTTAATCTTTCTAAGTTGTGTTTTGTTAAGATAAGTTCTTAATTATCTATTTTTCGTAGAAAATTAAATATATATAGTCATTTTTGTACACTACAACAAACTTACGGCACTTGCTCGTCTTCACGCCCTAGGAAATATTAAGAAACATCACGTTAGGCTTCGATTATTTTGATAAACAATCACATTTAGTCAGTCTATATGAGTGTTTCCAATGATATTATTGTCATACATATATACTGACGCCGAGGCCTACGCCCTAAATATAATCGTATCACTGGCATACTGGTAAAGCTGAATAAAATAATTGGCATTTTTGGCATCACGATTCGGCTTATCGTAAGTTTTTTTAAGCAGTGAAATTCAGCCCAGGTTTTTACTTGTCACATAACAGTATACCACTTAATATTTTTATGGTTAGAAGCGTTGATTCATTCGTAGAGAGATACCATGTTACATACAACCTGCGGGTGGTGAAATTTCGTTGATGCTGTCTAAATGAGTTGAATTGATTTGTATGAATCAAAATGTGTTTCTCGAAAAATAGAAAAATAAAATCATACTCTTGCATTGAAACCAAAGTTCAGAAGAAACACACACACACACACACAATATTAGTTACTTAACATTTATGTATCCTAGGTGAACATTAACTGAAACACATAAAAAATATAATTTATACCGAATTCCTATCATACGAATGATCAGGAGGATATCCTGAAGCAGCATAGTCTCGGGAACTGGAACCTCTGATCATATTGATTGGTTCTACTCCAGACCAATGAACATTCTCGTTTTCTTTCTTTTCATAATTCATGTTGCTATCTTTATCGAGTGGTGCGACACCTTGATTTTCGCCAGAGGGTTCTGATGTATCCATAAGAGTTTCGCTTTGACTGTCAGCTACAATGTAATGAAAATACTTTAGCAGATATTAAGTTTTTGATGGTTATTAACAGTAAATGGAAAACACGACAAAACAAAAAAACATCATCATTATTTAAAAGTAATTATGAATTGTATTTAAAATGTTTTGTAGTATACCAACAAACACTTTTGATAGACTTAGTTGTTTCTGTCATACAATCTCCAGTAAATAATAACTATAATATAGAATAAACCTAGACGTGGCAATCATGCACTTTGTTAGATATGTATACAAATGATAATGATGCGTTAAGAAAACAAACAGGCGATAATGACATATTATAACAAACATACAGAAATGATACAAGTGATAATGGCACACAAAGAGAAATATGCAGATAATAATGATGCATCAAGGGACTTACACGTGTGATAGTGGTAAATCAGGATAATCGCACATGTAATAGCGGGGGAGTTTAAAGAGATTTCTAGAGCATTGTACATATAAAAACGATCAGAAACATAAGACATTTCATTTGTCGTTTCGGCGTATAGTTCTGTATGTATACTTACAGAAGCAGTGTCAGTGATATAATAAGTATAAAGGTGGAAGTAACTAGTTGTTTGACCTTTTAAATATAATACTTTTGTGTGGTTCTGTTGTTTGAATAAGAAAGTGAGATTACTATAAATATGAGATTATGACTATTGAAAAGAAATCGTGAAAGCTAGGAAAATGAATGGTTAGAGATACGAGACTTTCGAAACGTGATTCTTCTTTGATATTTCAGGACAGCACAAAATATAAGCATAGACAGTTTTTTAAGACTAGAATTATCATTTACTGTAAATCATCTAAAAATACATAAATTCAACTAAAATGTTAACACAGAAATAGTATAATTTGTATAAGTATAATTTGACGATATCTGTTATACTATTTGACTAATAGATCGTCTTAACTAATTTAAACACTGCTATTATATATACACATACCTCTTTATACTTATCCATAAACATCACTATCACCTGTGTGATTTTCTGGATTTACCACTATTACATGTGTGATTATCCTGATTTAAAAAGCTCAAGTGTGATCGAAATCAAATTTACAAAAAGAAAATTTTAGTTTTATTTCATACTTTTTTGAGATAAAAGTACATTTAATGGCTATTAGTTGTAGTACTACCATCATAAAATTAGTAATACAAGTAGGTCTCAAGTCATGTTAAAATGAAAGGAATTACAATTTCAAAGGTAACGACTTGGCTGACGCTTGTCTATTCAAAACAGGTCTTTGTTTAATGACCAACTCTTTCAGTCAGTATTTTCTCCCGCTCATATGTATACGTTGTGTTCGATTGTTCACTGAAGCTTAACGTATTCATAAAACACAAATAATAAATATATATATGATCATGTATAATGGATATACTGGTACTTGTAAAATATATAAAGTAAAGAATATACATTACACTGACATTTTTATTGTATGTGCATTGTTTGGATTGTTGCTATGGTCAAGAAATGGTAGTTAATACTTGGGTCGTGGTAGTTTCGTTTACTACTATTTTGCGGATAGGAAGGCCTTTATTCGAAGGCATATTTTTAATAGTGTGTGTGTTCATCCTTGGTTTTCGGGTTTGTTTTTCTTATCGTCTAGTATTTGTGTTAAGTGTTTAGGTAAATAAAAATAACAATAAAAAGTTTTAGAACAATATTATCTCTGATTTGGTTTAGTCAATACTTTTGTCATATTTTTATATAGTACAGATTTTTCATGAGTTAGTGCGGGTGATACTTTCGCCCTCCTTTCATGGTAAAGTTTGTCATTGACTTGGTGTGGGTGATTCTTTCGCCTTTCTTCCTGATGGTAAAATTTATAACTAACTTGGTTTGGGTTATACTTTCGCCCTCCTTTCATGGTAAAGTTTGTCATTGACTTGGTGTGGGTGATTCTTTCGCCTTTCTTCCTGATGGTAAAATTTATAACTAACTTGGTTTGGGTTATACTTTCGCCCTCGTTTCATACGGTAAAGTTTATAACTGATTTGGCATGAGTGATACGTTTGCCCTCATTTCCTGTGGTAAAGTTTACCACTAAATTGGTCTAGTTGATACTTTTGCCCTCTTTTCGGATGGTCATATAGGTTTTAACGAAGATAAATATTTCAATCTACAAATTAGGATTAAAATGAAGTGAAAGCAGTGGAAATAAAACTAGTTACAACACGAAATAATATTTGTAACAAAGTTCAGTTTTTAGGTATAGGCAGATAGTACTAAATACGAAGTTTGATTTTGTAACATAATCTTTTGCTATTTCATAATATCTAAAAGTTTATTTAAGATACAAGGTTGAAAGTACATTTGAATCGGCTGGATTCGCTAACTTCTTTTACATTCTTACATTTGTTAATTCATATGGTACATCACACAGCATTTTTGTCTGAAGCCCAATTTCAATATTCGAATCTAAGGCGACCTTTTCTAATGCCAATACTAAAAAAAAGACAGTTAGTCATTTAAATAGATTTTATTACATGCAGCAGTAATGAAATATTTACAGTCTCTTCTCAAGGTACCACTACACTCTCTAGTACTGCGTGGTAATTACTGTTCTTAGTGCCAATTGAAATTTATTTGTCCTTTACGATGCGGCCCGGCATGGCCAGGTGGTTAGGGCGCTCGATTCACAATCTGAGGGTCACGGGTTCGAATCCCCGTCCCACCCATCATGCTCGCCCTTTCAGCCGTGGGGGCATTATAATGTGACGGTCAATCCACTATTCGTTGGTAAAAGAGTAGCCCAAGAGTTGGCGGTGGGTGGTGATGACTAGCTGCCTTCCCTCTAGTTTTACACCGCTAAATTAGGGACGGCTAGCGCAGATAGCCCTCGTGTAACTTTGCGCGAAATTCTGAAACAAAAACCTTTACGATGAATACATATGTATATCAAAGAAGCCAACTATGTAAATTGGTCAAAATATGGCTGAGTAATTGATCAAAACTTCAAAATTATGTTGTTGTTTTTTGTGAATTTTGACCCTCCATAAAAAGACTCAAAATGGGAAAATCCAACTGTTTTCTATCTCAATATGTTGGACGCATGAAAACTGTTATTTGTACCATGTTTCATCTTGGTTGCTGTAAATATGAACGCATAGAAGCCCAAAATATACCTTTTTGGGGTTGTTTGACTTTTCACCCCGTAAAAGGCATCTGAGCGTATTGGGACAAGGTATAAACCCTACCATTTTTCAAGTCATTTCGCCGAAAAATGATGGAATGGAGGTCGACTGAAAAGTTTTTGGAAGAAGAAGAATGAAAGAAAGAATAATAAATTATAGAAGATTAATTAATATATCTTTTACACTAATTTTGATGCTGTTAGTATACTATCCCAACACGTGAATCAATATGTCACCTCAATATATCAACAAAAGCTTTTTGTATTTTGTATATTATCACAATTTCCACATTAAACAGATCACCTGAATAGATCTACAAGTTAGTTGTTGTTCGAGAAACATAGTTCACAAAAGGTCATAATCGGAAAGGTTTTCACTTTTAGAAATCTTGCCCTAAATATTGTGTTTTGATTAAGTTTCGAGACACGCAAGATGTCCGATAAAAAAGAACCGTCATGAATTTCTTTGTTGTTTAAATATTACCACAACACATTGGTTTAATAGAACCTTTTTTGAACAAATCTGTAACAGTTTCTTTGTTATTTGTATAGTCGCAAAATGTGAATTCAAAAATCATTTGAACATATCTACACCAGGAGTTTGTATGCTATTTTATACATTATTACAATACGTGAATTTAATAAATAGCTGAATATATTTACAACATTTCCCTGTTCTTTATTTATTTCACAACACGCGAATTAAATAGTCCATATCAATAGATCTACAACAGATTTTATGTTGTTTTTATATTATCACAACTCGTGAATTAAACAGAACATGTTTATATTTATAACAACAGTTTCTTTGTATATTATCATGACATATCACAAGTTTTAATGGTGTTCATACATTGTATATGAAACAGATCACCTGAATATTTATATTACAGTTTCATGTTGTTTATAATATATCACTCTATGTTTAATGAAATATTATTCTGTAATAGAATATATATATATATGCTGTATTTATATAGTACATATTTAAAGTATCTTCTACTCACCATCATAACTGTCTCCGGTCTTATTTTGCTTTCCTACATTTTCGTTAGATGGAGTTTCTGTTGTACTCTCACACTCAATGTTCGCTTCTACTTGCTGTAAAAGTTAAGAGCAATATGCTTTTTTAGATAATATAATAATTATTCAGAAGATGGAATTATGAATCAAGACACGATATGCTGATTAATTAGATGCAAATTTCTTGTGCATATGCTTCTTAAACCCTGACTTTAGACACGAAATCTGTCTTTGCATGCATACGAACCAGATAATCAAAAGTCAAGTTATTGATTATGAGATTTTAATAGTGGTATTAAAAAATTTTCAATGTTCCATTTTAGTGAAATTCACGAGACACCAGTACTTGCGTTGTCTTGAGCATTGCTGGTAAAGCGTTTGAAAATGTAAGTTCATTAGCTTTAAACGCATCATAATATTCATATTCTATTTATCTAAGGATGCATGAACTTATGGCTTAAAACTGTTTCCCAAACATATAGACGCCAACAACTTGTATTTCTAGGTAATAGATTACAACACTTTGGCTCACAAGTATGGCTGTCTAGGTAAGGTCCGCACTGCTGGCAGTGGGATTACTACCTGGTGGAAAAAGGATTATTCTCCAGTACTCCTTCTACAAGCTAAACGACTGTACTCAAACCTATTGGACAGGATAGCTAATAATCCCTAGTGAGATAAACGACCGTTGACATTCGAAACAGTACAAAACAAAACCAAAAAAACCATCACAGGGATCGAAACAGGAATTTTAGCGTTATAAGTATTCAAGCTTACTGCTGAGCCACAGTAACACAATACACTTCTAAAACTATGATTCAAATCTAAAGAAAGTTCAGTGTTACCCAACAAATGCATATATAGATGAATTTATAACATATACATATTAACTAATTTATAAGTATTGGACGTTAGTAATCGAACACAAACAAGGGTAAGATGTATACATTTGTTCTGTATATTCAATTTTAAAAATCTTTCTTACAAGAGGAAATTTGAATTATTCGTAACGATTGAAACAAATTAACAGGTTTTTAAAGTACAAACACAAACTGAAAATTTTAATAAAACAGACAATTATAATACTGTTTTATAGCTAACAGGAAATACTTAAAAACTATCACAAGTAATGAAGAAAGTAAACTCTCAATTATATGAACAGCAAAATGAGGGTTCTAATTTCTTATGACGTTTTCCTGTGAAAACAGTTGTTATTATTTTCTTATGTAGACATTTACGAAAAAAAACTGTGAAAAATAACAACAATATCGAGTAAGAATTAAAGGTATAAAAGCTTCAAGACTGATGAACACATCAGTAAATTTAGAAGTAATCCATACTCTTTCACACAGAACATTCAAAGTTTATCAAGTAACGACCACTGTCTGCTAGTAAAGTACAAAAAGTGGAGATGTGCATTTCAAAATATTTCTCCTTAATGCATTAAACGAGGCTCGTATTTCGAAGCTTTATATTTAAGTGTTTATATATGCTTGTTGAACCGTTTTATTTAAAATATTTCGAAAGCTTTTGATTGAAGAACAAGCTACAATAGTAAAAAATAATATATTTTAATATATTCAAAATGGAAGATGATATATAATGTGAACATTGTTCCTTAAAGGTGGGTAGTAAAGTTCATTCTATAGTTCATTCTCTCTTTTTTCAGCTATCCTTTCTTTAAGATCCATTCGCAAATGTGGTTATTCTTGTTTGCGCTAAGATTCCAATAAACTTTGTCTTAAAATCATCTTTCCCTTTAGGTCTATTATGTCTACAAATAATTTTGCCCATCTTTTCTGTATAATTGTCTCCCAAAAATCTCGCCTTTTTTCCTGTTACTCTTGCCTATAGATATTCTTGCATATTTCTTGCCATTGTCATCAGATTACATCCTTTCCTTCTAATTATCTTTAAATCACCTCAGTAATCTACGGTCGAATTCTTCTCCTGATCACACTGTCATGTTACATCCACTTTTGTCTTCAGATAACCCCACCCCTTCGGGATATCTTTTACTTCATAAATTCTCACCTCCTTCTAGCTACCCTTTTCTCCAGATCACGAAACACCATTTTTGTTATCGATGTTTCCAGATTGCCTCAGTCACTACAACTTATAATTTTCTTCAAGCCATTCAAACCATTTGCATGTCTACAGAGTACATCATTTCTTCAAATGATCTTTCTTTCAAGATAGCCTTGTAGCCTTTGCATTATTGTCCATACAATATTAAAGTTTTTCCAAAATCAGTCAAGACGGACAAGACCTGATTGGATTAATTTACCTATATAGATTATTTTTTCATTTCTAACGGTTGGTGTTATAATTTTTTCATTTTACTTTGTTGTTTCAAAAAATTTCAAAGTTTCAAAAAATTGTCTTTAAGTATTATACAGTTTAACCTACAAGTAGCTGTATTCGTATCCAAAAATATATAATGAAAATATATTATTGTTTATCAAAGGCGACAACACAGTGATGTCGCAAACCTTTTGTGTTTCATGTTATAAACACACGACATGTTAAATGTATTACTATATAATTTGGATGGGGAAATCTCTTCTAATTAGTTGTTGTTTTTTCCGGTGCAAGATATAAACATAGCAAACCTTTAAATCAACATGTGAGGTTTGGTAATAATCGGTCCAAAAGTTTACCTTCTCAATAAATCCCTGAACCATTTAGTGGTTTTTCCCTGCCTATTACACAGAAAATGATATACCTAGTTAGTAACCGTACAGACAGCAACTTAAGAAGTATAAAAAATCACTGTTTACAATGCTAGTACTATCACAAACCGAAGCGATTTCATTGGTGATAGAGAGCAATGTTTTCCTCAACAGTCTAAAGTACTTGTAATGTGGCAGTAAATTATAATAGTTTATTATTTAGACTACTTTTTTTAGGCAAACAAAAAACAACAATATGTCATCTTGAACGATTACTTGTGCTCACTTTTTTCGTCAGTTTTGTAATATTCAAAAGCCCACGAGCTTAACTATACGACGTAGTAGTTTTCCCGCAAAAAGCTAGCGAAATGAAAAAGCTCTTAGAGTTGCTATGGTAACCAGAAAATACCAAAACACGCTCAATGATAAAAAAAGTACATTATTCTGCACGGTCTGGGTGGTGTTTGTGTTTCAGGAGTATACAATAAATCACTAAATCTCATGATCGGAATTACATTGTGAATTTCAAGATTTTTTATATAAAGGAATAACGCAAGGCTTACATGTATATGTATTATACCAATAGTAAGATATCCAAGCCCCTACAGAAATTCTAATTCGAGTAACAACTTATTTTTCCCTTTTTTGTCTTTACGAAAAATGGTGTTAACAATTGAAATGAGAAAGACCAATGCTAAGCTCAAATAACGTTACACACAATGTATTTATCTTAGTACCGCCGAACCTAAAGCTAAGCACGTAATAATTTTGTAATACAGTACGTGTTATCTTACAAAGATACTATACTAAGGCTGATTTCACATTTCTTTGAATAGCAGCTGCACAAAAAAGCACATAGTTTGAAATACCAGGAAATGCTCGCGGTACCATCTTCCGAAAGATGGTACCACGAACATTTCCAATTTATATTCCAATTTAAAAGGCATGTGAAAACAAAAACATAATAATCGATAATCTTGCTAATTAAAATAAATCTATTGGCCAAATAATCCTGTATGGATAACCAAATTAAAATAGCAATTTGAGGCTGACTATTATTTGATAGCTTAATACAGAATACGCCCAAAACGAAATCTTTAATGCGAAGTTTTGGTATTGAATTACCACATTTAATGAATACGGTTGGTTTCATTTGTGCTAGAATAAATTATACAGTATGAAAAGAGAAAAATGGGTGATACGGTTAACGCCGTGTTGTTGTTTTCTTTGTTGAAATGTTATGCTACAAACGCTTGTTTTATATGAAGTTTTTGATTAACTTTTTATTTCTTTGAAACAAAATTAAACTTTAACTGAGATCAAAATGTATTACTTGTGTTCATTACAATAAAGTAATATTATCTTTACAAACATTTAAGTGATTTTTACGCAATGAAACATGACATATATATTAGTAAAGCTATAAGATTGTGCAGATCAGATCCCTTTGTTAAATAGCGTCAATTAGATGGTGAACTATTTTCTTACTTTTCAGGTTTTTCGTGGGTTATACCAAAATATGTCAAAAAACGAACTTAGATAAGTTAGTCTTATCATACAGTATTGTACTTCATTTCGAGGCTTTGTTTTTGACACGTTTTTGTTGAGAACAAATCAAACTAGTGTGCAAGAAATGTACTTGAATATTTTAAAGAGACAACAATACCACTCTTTCCCCACGTCTTGAAATTCTTCTTGTTATGGCGTTCTTGTCAATTCTCATTTTGTTTGTACGCTTAATACAAAACAGTGAATCACGCGTTGTAATGCCAGTTGCCAGGAGACCCCTAACCGGCGTGATAGCGGGCCGTTTTCGTAGAAAATCCTTATGCCCAGAGCACGCGTTTCCATGGAAACGGTGTCAAGGTAAAGCACCCCCTTAGAAGACGCCCTCTCTGTCAGGAACACGCCAAATTACACTGATGTGGCCTTTCCACTACTGCGCTCGCTCGTACCACAAACACATGTGTACCCTGTAGAAAGGGCTTCACTGCACGACAAATGTGTATGGCAGGGTCGGCCAGAACCAAGGTGCTTTAGAAAGGGGTGGTGGAATACCATTTCAAAAAACTGTGCTCTACATATTTCCATTATAAAATAAAATAAAAAATCTTTTCAAACCTCTTTTAGATTTATCTGGGAAAATAAAAACTGTGACTATAAAAATAATTTTGAAGGTTCCCATTATGTTATTAAGGAAAAAAAAAAGCTGTAAGCACTGCTATATCTGAAAATAAACCATCGTATACAGGTAAATTGTTCTATTTTAGAGATGTGGTAAATTAATATTTGTGTTAAAAACAACAGGTATTCAGTATATTCGAGTTAGAAAAATGTTTATTAAAAGTAACCGAGAACGGATATATTCATTCAGGAGTTTACGGAACACGAAAATATTAGTTTTAA